GGATGGGATCAGGACATTATCTTCGAATCTGCAGTAGAACTCATTCGGCTCGTCTGCCAGGCGGAGCTCATTCATGGAGTGGGGGGTTTTGCCTTGTAGTTTGTGAGGTGTTTGAGGCCTCTCCAAACCGAAGCAGAGTCACTTGCTGAGAACTGTTGGTGGAGTTTCTCAGAGTACAGTCGTTTAGCATCTCTCACCGCCTTGCTAAACTTGTATTTTGCCTCTGTGTACAAGTCTTTGTCCCCGCTCCTAAATGCCTGATCCTTCTGCAGGCGTAGTGTTCTGAGTTCCGCTGTGAACCAGGGTTTGTCGTTGTTGTAACTCACCCTGGTGCATGATGGTACATAGCTGTCCTCACAGAAGCCGATGTAGGAAGTTACAGCCTCTGTGAACTCATCCAGACTGTCAGTAGCAGTCCTGAAAACATCCCAGTCTGTGCAGTCAAAGCACGCCCGAAGATCCTCCAGCGCCTCACTGGTCCACTTCTTGAATTCCCTCACTGCAGGTTTGCAGAGCTTTAGTTTCTGCCTGTATGCAGGAATCAGATGGACCATGACGTGGTCAGAGTGTCCCAGTGCAGCACGAAGGACGGCGTGATAAGCCCTGCTTACTGTGGTGTAACAGTGATCCAGCGTGTTCTCCTCTCTGGTGGGGCATTTAATAAACTGTCTGTATTTAGGAAGTTCATGGGTGAGATTTCCTTTGTTAAAGTCCCCGAGGACAATAACTAAAGAGTCCGGGTTGGTCCGCTCCACACGCCGTATCTGGTCGGCGAGTGTCCGCTGTGCCTCGTGCACGTTGCCCGCCGGCGGCATGTAAACACCGACCAGGATGAATGAAGCGAACTCACGGGGGGAATAAAATGGTTTGCAGTTGATGAAGAAAGTTTCCAGATCAGGAGAACAGTGTTTTAGGATCACAGTTACGTCGTTGCACCAGCTGTTGTTGAAGTAGAAGCAGATTCCTCCACCCTTTGTCTTGCCGGAGAGCTCCGTGTCGCGGTCCGCTCGGAGCAGCTGGAAGCCCGTCAGCTGGAGCGCGGAGTCCGGTATCGATCCGCAGAGCCACGTCTCCGTGAAGCACAAGACGGAGGATGTAGAGAAGTCTCTGTCTCTCCTCACCAGCAGCTGAATTTCGTCCAGTTTGTTGCACAGTGAGCGCACGTTGGAGAGAAAGATGCCTGGCAGCGGAGTGCGAGAACCACGCCTGCGGAGTCTCACCAGCGAGCCGGCCCGTTTTCCTCTCCTACGGCGTCTCACCGCGTGACTAAAGGTGAGCGCACCTTTGACTATAATGTCCAATAATTCCACGGAAGAAAGCAGGAAAGTTGCAAGTAACTCCGCTGGAGTTGTTCCACGGATGTTCAAGAGCTCATCTCTGGTGAAAGAGCTCCGGGAATCACAGCAGCAAACGTAATTAACAACAAAAACAACAAAAAACGAAGCGCACCGAAGCACCGTGGCGGCCATCAACGGCGCCATGTCACATTACACTATATGTGATATGTCATTGAATCGCATATGGCATAGCTTTTTCTTTTCTATCCATTACAATTCAGAATTTAACTAAGAGCTGACGGACCGAAGGTGGTGATGAAGTGTCGTCAGAAGGTATCACCCTGGTGAATACGTTGGTTGTGTTTCTGTATACTACCTAACAAACCGGACCTCAGGGTTCTGTGAAAGTGTGAACACACTCAGCAGTTTGTGGTTTAGAGGTCTTCCTGTTTTCAGCTCGAAGCAGTGCACAAGCTCATCTGTGTTTTGTAGACCATAGAGAGAATGACCGCATGAAGCAGACTTGCTGTTTCACAAAAAAACCCTCTCTAAAGCCAAACTGTCCTGTAGATAAGTCTGAACCAACCTCCATAGACGTCTCACACCCTTGCATGCTTATTCTTGTGAGGTTTCTATATTTACATTTATCTTCAAATATCTCTGATGGTCAACCTGCAAATGAGGATGAGTCCTGGCGTACATTGTTGTGTGTGTGTGTGTGTATACGTGTGTGTGGGAGTGTGCGTACGTGTGCTTGTGTGTGTGTGATGTGAGGGAGATTTCTGTAAGGAGATGAGAGTCAGTTGTCAGCAGTGAATCAGAGAGTGAAGATGAAGCTTCTACTGAGCAGTCTGCTACTCGCCTCCTTCTGTGTTCTCTCATCTTGGAGTGAGTAAAAAGCACAGAGTAACCTTTGTTTTATAGAACTATGAAGGGAAAATGTTTGCTGAAGATATCAAAAGTACAGCAGCCTTTTTATGATGACTGTTTATTTAGATGTACAATCTTGCAAATAACAGTAGACGTTAAACCAACTCGTGTCAACTGTTTGATGCTGTTTAAATTTGCCAGACAAAATAAAGTGACCACTATTCTTTTATTGTTGTTGTGACATTACCGCTTTACTCGGGGGTTGACTTGCACAAAAATCAGATTATATTACGGTGATTTATTTCACCGCGGATCTGGATTTTGGTGAAAAGATGAATTTACCTTTCGTTCGGCTTCTGAAGCAACGTGATGTTTGTGGTGTTATGATGAAGAGCCAAATGATGGATCACCTCGTCGTCTCTTCACAGGTGTTTCATCTGCAGGTGAACCTGCTGTTAGCCAGACCCCTGATGTCTCTGTGGTGGAGGGCGAGACGGCAAAGATCAGCTGCTGCTGGACACTAGAGTATCAAAGCGTGAGAGTTACATGGCTGAAAAATCACACAGAAATAAAGAGTAATAAGATGATCTTCAAGAATTCCTCTCATGGATCACTGTCAGATAAGACCTCTAACTGCTCACACTTGACATTGATGAATGTCACAAGAGACGATTCAGGGAGATACATCTGCGAGGTGACAGTGGAAATACCCAATGTCATGAAGGCTCAAGGAAATGGTACCGTCCTCACAGTTACGGCCAAGGACAACACAACAGGTACGTTGACACAACACCGGTGGCATTACAGTGTTGCATAAAGGGTTTAACTAATATCTGGTTTGCCAGTGGATGAGCTTGATAATTCTACATCGTCAAAATGAGATGGAAAACAGAGGCCGTATATATTGGACTCAAATACTTGACGTGCTTGTTCTAACACATGGTTTCCTTTTTTTTTTTTTAAACAAACATATCTTCCTTAAAAAAACAGCACGTTCATTTTTGTTGTCGTTGTTGTAATACTTGTGTGTTTTTTTTTTTTAGAATGTGGCCATCCAGGTTTGTACAAAAATGTCATCGTTTCTCTGGCTGTGGTGGCTCTGTTGCTCCTCATCGCTCTCGCGTGTGTCTGGTATCTGCGACGAAGACGAGGTACATGAGAAATATATGATTACCATACGATGCAGATAGTTTTCACTAAACCTCCCTCTGACTCCTGTCCCTTCTTCTTAAAAAAATCTAATTTGTGTGCATGTCAGCATTGAAAAAGTACAATAAATTATTGAATTAAACTACATTTATTGTTTCAGAGAACACACTGTGAAATCAGAATGTAGGAAGACAATTTTAATATCGGTAAGAGTAGCAAAGTTATTGTTGGAAAGATGTAAATATTCCAGCAGGTGCTTGATTTGAGCGCAAGATTTAAATAAGCGTTTGGCAAAAAAGTGCTTTTAAGATAAAGACACTGACATATTATCACTTCAGTTGCCCATGAGCTGGTAAAAAGATAGAATCTAAGTTGCAGGTTGTAAAGAAAATCAACGCAAAAGGTGCAGTTGTGATGACTGAATTTAGCAGTGATAAATATCTTAATTTGCTCCATGGTGAACATATAAATATGCTGAGGAACAGTTATTATTCGTAAAATTGTGGCAGCTGAACTCTTTAAAATAACTGAGAGGACCAGAGAACCGACTCAGACCAAACGGCATCCACTATAATTCTAAGGAATATACAAAAGATGTGTGAGCTGAAATATCTCCTGATTGAACTAAGTCATATTCATGTTTGATATTTACATGGGATTCTATCATGCTCTCTTTTCCGCAAGGGCACTTATATTAGGGGGTCTCTTTATAGCAACATAGTTCAACACAAAACATTGTGTAATTTCAGTAAAAATGTATAGGACCAAAAAGTTATCCCTGTGGTTCACCGAGTACAAATGTACTACTAAGAATGACAAATAATTGCTTGTTGCGATAAATGTAAATAACGCTAAAGTGTCTTCTATGTATGTTGTTGCTGCACAGTTTTTTGTTGTTGATGCAACTAACCGTGTAATTGTTTGTGTGTGTGTGTCCCACGGACTCAGTGCATGCCACCAGGGTGATCTACGAGGTTCCCCACATTGACTCTAAGCAGGTAGATATGGACAAACACAGCACCAGCTCATCCAGAGGGTCTTCTCAGTGGGTGAGTTTAATGGCAATCACGGCTACAGAGACAAATACTGTGTGTTGAGTAAGAAAAACAGTAACAAACGAACAGTCTCCCCCTTTTTGTTCAGTTTGGTGGATCTGGTGTCACATAGTTTGACAAACAACCTTTGAATGTGATCTCGTTTCGCCTTGTATGGTCCCCGTCATCAACAATATGCGTCACTATTTATGCAACTGAATGGAGTTTTAACCATGCAGACGGATTAGCAACCATTAAACAACTGTCACTAGCATCAAAATCTTTGGTTGGGGCCTGTTAGGATCTCTGAATCCATATTTTAAAAGCGTAGAACTCAAGCTCTACAGAACACCAACAATAAACTTTTAAAGGGTACTCATGTGGACTTTAAATACTTTCCAGATTTTACTAACAGTTATGTTATATTCAACTGCATTGTGTTGTCAGGGTTTCTGGATCACATTTTAGCTGAAATAAATGTTTTTCCGATCGGCAGCTTTGGCGGGAACTTCACTGTTGACTCACTATTATGAAATATTACTTCCCTTTTGAGCAATCATGTCTACCAATCAGTCTACTCAGCATTATATTGTGACATTAACAAAGGACTTTGACGGAAGTTGATATACTAGTACATTCCCCTGATAACGTATATTGCAGGCTTGCCTAATGACTGTTTTTATGTATTTCTCTCTTTCAGTGTCAGGTAGTAGTGTATGAATCCTTCGATTACTTTGAACGTGTCGAGACCAAAGAAAGTGGATGAGGATGTGCTGACCAGGGAAATTTTCGCATCTTTGACTAGTTTTGATTCTGCTTTTCAGCATGTATATAATGTACATAAGTTTACTCACATTTACTTGAATTATGGACTTTTGTATATTAGGATTTTATATGAATGTAAATATTTGATATTTTTCTATAAACTCAGTTCTTTCCATTTTTGTGGTCTAAGTCAATTTCATCATGACAGTTTTGGACAGGCTTACTTGCATGATTGCTTTTGTTTTTCCTTCATGGCACTACAAGCTGTAGTCGGTGGTCTGCAATAGGAAGTGTGATTCTGTAGACGTAGGTTTCACAATGACTTCCAATCTTGAGAAGGACGCAGGGTGGAAACTGTGTTGCCACAGACTTGCACATAAAAAGGTCAATGACAGGAAGTGGAAACATCTCCTGCGTGGTCGTTTCTCCCTGGCCTCAACACTCAATACAGAGCTTCTACAATATTAAATCCTGAGTAGCTAACTTATTGTAAATACATTAGGTCAAGACCATGTTTTACTGATCATTCACCTCTAAAATGTGCGTGCTCTGCATTTCAGGTTACGTGTTGATTTTTGAGAAGTTGGAAAGAAGCCCGTTGACATAATTGAAACCACAATTGCATAATTACAATATGTTGCTCACACGAACCACACAAAAAAAGTCTAAGACAACATTGCCAAACCGTAAAGACTATACTGGAGAGCTTTTGGGAATGTTGCTGGTTCTTCTACCATTAAAGGTTTATCAAGATTAGAGCATGTTGCAAACGACATTTACTGTACATCTGTTCATCCAAAAGTGCTTTGAATGGTTAGGGTTAGGATCAATGTCTTCACTAAATGGCTGTCTTCAGTTTCAGCTTTAGAGTTAGAACATATCTTGGTTTCCACATAGCTGTATCAGCCCTATTTGTGACTCAGCAGCCCCCGAAGTTCAAACGAGATTGTCCTTTTCTCTCTTGGGATAAAAATCAATAAAGAAATGATCATGATTCAAATGAAAGGATTTCCCAACTAATCAGAATAATACAAATCTGGGCAATTTGAGGCAAAACAAAATGTACATTTCTAAAAGCTAATATGCTAGACATACAGTTGTGGTCAAAAGTTTACATGCACTTGTCAAGAACATAATGTCATGGCTCTCTTGAGTTTCCAGTTATTTCTACATCTCTGATTTTTCAGAGGGTGATTGGAACAGATACTTTGTCACAAAAAACATTCATGAAGTTTGGTTCTTTTATGCCTTTATTATGGGTTAACAGAAAAAGTGACAAAATCTGCTCGGTCAAGGATATACATACAACGCCACGAATTAGCAATTTTGGTGACTTAGACAGTTGCATCAATGAAATGAGCTTCATAGCATGGCCTCTCTTCTTGTGAGTGATTATGAGTGACTACAGCTGGTGACGTCTCTGAGGCCATTTAAATAGGGCTCATTGGATACAAACATCCACAAACGCTACAATGGGAAAGTCAAAGAAGCGCAAAATGGATCTGAAAAAGCAAATCATTCAGCAAATCAGCCTTTAACAGGAAAGTCACTTTGAGCCATTTCAAAGCAGCTGCAGGGTCCAAGAGCAACAGTGCAAGCAATTGTTTTAGTATAAAGTGGCACTGTTTTGTCCCTGTCATGATCAGGAGGAAAATCACCTGCTGCTGAGAGAAAATTGGTCAGGAGGGCGAAGAGTCAACTGAGAACCACCAAAAAGCAGATCTGCCAAGAATTAGAAGCTGCTGGAACACAGGTGTCAGTGTCCAGTCAAGCGTGTTTTGCATCTCCATGGAGAGGCTGCCGTGCAAGAAGGCGGCACCTTAAGGCTCGGCTGAAGTTTGCTGCTGATCACATGGACAAAGAAGACCTTCTGGAGGAACGTTCTGTGGTCAGACGAAACAAAAATTGAGCGGTTTGGCCACAATGCCCAGCAATATGTTTGGAGGAGAAAAGGTGAAGCCTTTAGCCCCAAGAACACGCCTAATAATGGGCTGCAGTTGTGTTGACAATTGGAACCAACACCCAAATCACACTCTTAAACCAATGACAGCTGGCTGCTTTTTTTTTTTTTCCCACTATCTTTCCAAAGGTATAAAAATACTCCTCCCAATACCTTCACATCTACTACTGTGTTTGTACCGTTTTCTATATTCAACCCCCATCTACGCAGCAACCATGACCCAGCTAGAGACAGCCATGGCCATGCTGATGAAGACCTTTGATACATATGCTGCTGGCGAGGGCAGTGAGGACACCCTAAGCAAAGCCGAGGTCAAGACCTTGCTGGAGAAGGAGCTGCCTGGACTGCTGAAGGTACCGTACACAGAATTGTGCTGTACTGAATGAGCCTCCTCCACCCATCCCTGACACCAGCCCTGTCGGACCTTTTTTCTTTTTTTTAAAACACTGCAAATATTCCTAAATGAATTTAGCCTAACACAGGTCTTCTAACTTTTGTGAAATTAATGGCCTCATTGTTTGTGTCCACCAGTTTTGGTGGCAAGAACACCATGGCTACCGTCAAGCAGGGTGGTAGCATTATGCTGTTTTGCTGCCAATGGAACTGGTGCTTTACAGAGAGTAAATGGGATAATGAAGGAGGATTACCTTATTCAAGATAACTTAAAATCATCAGCCCGATGGTTGGGTCTTGGGCGCAGTTTGGTGTTTCAACATGACTCCAAACACACATCAAAACTGGTAATAGAATGGCCAAATCAGGCTAGAATTAGGGTTTTAGAATGGCCTTCCAAAAGTCCTGACTTAAATCCCATTGAGAACATGTGGACAATGCTGAAGAAACAAGTCCATGTCAGAAAGCCATCAAATTTACCTGAACTGCACCAATTCTGTCATGAGAAGTGGTCAAAGATTCAACAAGAAGCTTGCCTGAAGCTTGTGGATGGCTACCAAAAGCGCCTAATTGAAGTGAAAATGGCCACGGGACATGTAACCAAATATTAGCACTGCTGTAGGTATATTTATGACCCAGCAGATTTGATCACTTTTTCTGTTAACCCACAATAGTCATAAAAGAGGAACAGATATTTCTATCAGATAAAAATCAGACTTGTAGAAATAACCGGAAACTCGAGAGCCACGACATTATGTTCTTTACAAGTGCATGTAAACTTTCGACCACAACTGTTACCTTTTGGCACATGCTTATATTTAATATCTGGGGGACATCAGTCACAGATTAGCCTACGCTGCAGAGCAGTAGTTTACATTTCGGCTACAATGAGTAGTAGTTGTTGTATTCAAAAATGAAGAAACGAACAGGTCATCGCACATCAAAAGGTTAAAATCAAATGTACAAATAAAAGCTGGTGTTGTGGTAAAAAGAACATCTCAGCTGAGGAGCCGCTGGTCTCAGCAACCAACAGGCCCCAGGTCAGTCCTTTGACCATCCCTAGTGCCCGTCTGTCGCCTCCACCAGTGAACTCGAGAACAATGGTTCCTAGAGGTATTTATAACAATGCTTAAAGGTGTGACAGTTAGTGTCCACACCTCTGGGAGTGGTCTTCTGATGAGTTCATTGTAACTCGGATTTCGAATGACCCTTAGTCAATATCAGTTGTGCAAGTACTACATGCATGCATTCCAGTTGATTACATTACATCAAATACAATCATAGCTGTTCATTGAAGTTATTCTATTACAGTTGCAGAATTACCGTAGTTTTACAATATTGTCATTACTTTTTTGATTACACAGTTTAAGAATCATGGCTGTATTCTGGTGTACACTATATGCATTTTTATTAATTTTATGAACCGGGTCGTCCATTTATTTCTAATATCCTACATAGTGTATATAACCTAACTGAGTGTTGAAGGCTGCAGAAAGACACTCCTTCGCTCATAGAAACAGACACTACCTCTTCGCAGTCGGCGAAGAACCCAGGCGAGGTTGACAAGCTGTTCAAAGGTCTGGATTTTAACGGAGACTCAGAGGTGCACAGCAAAAGGTCCAGTGTTGAATTAACTCCCACAGAGTTGATTTCAACACTTTTTGAGAGTTTATATAGCTCCACACTCTCCAGAGTTAAATTAACACTTTCAAAATAATTAAACATTTAACACTCTACCAGAGTTCCTTTATTAACTTACAAAACAGTGTTAAAATAACACTGAGGGATTAGACAACTAACACTGCTCAAAGTTAATTTTTTTAACTATTTTGGTAGTGTTAATTACACTCCCTAATGTATCAATTATCTACACTGAAAAAATGTTAAAATTAATTTTAAATGTATTAATTAAATATATACTTATATTAATAAGAATTCATCACAATAAACCAAAACATTTTCAAAAACATTTATTCCTTTTCTCCCTTGCAGTCAGTTGAATTAAAACATTGTGAATGAAGGTATAATGTACAACTTTCATCCAAAACATTGTATGAGCTTTGAATATCAAACGGTTTATGAAATTTAAGCTCAGACATTTTTAGTAAACATCTTTCCGCAATTCGTAATACTCTGAATGCATGATGATGGTCATCAAAATTCTCTGTAAATAGCTTGTTTGTCAAAAAAAATAAGTGATCTTCAACCAAAAGTACATCACTTATTTGACAAAAGACTGGCATGTCTTCTTCCATTGCACTGCAAATAACTAGTCCAGCTTTATACTCTACACCATCAACTTTAACCCAACTAGTTGAGAGAACATCTTTTGACAAGATTGTTTCAAGCATTTCATTGTTGACCACATTCTCATCTCTGAAGAGAAAAGATTTAATGGGACCATACTCATTTTTTTTGAGGGTGAAGGTTTCCCAGTGATAAGCAATGGCCATCTGATGCTTTATAGCAAGCGATTTGGTTATGTTTTTGAAATTTTTTAAAGAATCTTTAAACAGCTTGTGTTTGGCCTCAAACCTCATACACCACGTATATAATAAGGGGCCAATTTTCCTTATAGAAGATGGGTAATGGATCATAAAATGATGCTTAGGTATCAAGTTTCTATGTGGATACAAGTGCTTAAATAGTTTGTGGTGGTCAACAAAAGTGAGAGAAGGTGAAAAAACTATGTTCATTATTTGAAGTAACAGTAACAAATTCCAGTTTTTGTTTCCTGCAGGAATAATTTCACCAAACAGTGGGATGTTTTTCACAAGACACAATGTCTGAATAGAATTCAAACCAATGCCATTGTCAGCACTCTCCAAAATAATCTTTGTAGGACGATTTTTTCGTTCTAAAAATCCATAATCAAAACCATAAATCCTGGAAAGCAAGTCTTGTTCTGACATAAAGTGTTGTGTGAGATATCCAAAAAGCAATTTGATCTCATACTGAACCACACCCTCAAGAAGATCATCATGATATCAAATGAATAGTTATTGCAAACATGGAAATACTTCAATGAATTAAGTGCAGATCTTTTTTTCAAACCATAAAGTAACTTAAATTGTGGGTTTTCCTGGAGAGACTGGCAATGCATATCAAACATATCTTTTCCACGAAGGATCACTTTAGGATCATCCTCACTGTATACCGTTTGACAATCATTATTCTCAATCAAACAAAGGCGACAGAAATGACGGCTACTAAATGACTCATTAAAACCAAGAATTGTGTGCATCCCTAGATTATCTACAGTGATCTGACAGATTGTACCATATACCTGCTCATCTACAAATGGAAGACTTAGCCCTTGGCTTTCTAGTTTTTTCACATCATTTATCAACGGTTCTAGTATAACATCAAAACCATACTTGCGCAGATCTTGTGTGTGAAAAAGTGATACCAAATGAATGTTCATCAAAACCGAATTAAATTTTGGGGGCAAATTTCTTACAACAAAATAAAGACAGCCAATTTTGTGTATTCCACGTTTGGAGCCAAGGGGATTGGCTGTTTCAAAATCGTCATAGTATAGTTGAATTTGCAATGCATGTTTATTAGCTGTAAACAAAGGGTGGGTTTTAAAATAACTTCCATCAAAAAAGTCAGTATAAGTGTCAGGCTCTGATCTACACTCCTTTAGCAAAACACAAATGTCTGGATTTCTGCACATGAACTTCAATGTTTCTAAAATTGGCACATAGATAAAAGTATCCTTCACAGGTACTTGATCATAAGTACCGGATTTCTGATTTCGCCTGTTGTCATATCTCACTCCCAGTGTTATTTCTACTGGCTCAACAACTCCCCATTTTTGGTGGAAGTATTTATTTCGTTTCCATTCTGTGTTCAGATTTGAAAACGGGTTTTCATAATCTTCAAAAGATTAATTTATCACAGATATGTTGGGGTCAGTTATAGGTAAAGCAGAAATAGCTGTATGCTTTGCTTGTGAGCGAAGTTCACTCGTTAGTTCTTCCAAATCTCCTACAATTGAGGATACCAAACTGTTGGATATCCTACTCCCCTGTAATTTGGCCACGATGGATGCACACATTTCTTTAGTTGGATCTTTAGTAAGTCCTGAATCATTGGTCTCAGAAGAAATACTGGAAGAACTACATTGATTTTGTGGAATAAATTGGTCCTCCAAAGTATGTGCCTGAGATGAAGTTGCAACTGGCTCACCAGATGAACATGCAACAGTTGAAGTTTGAGTTTGCTGAAAAATGCTATGAACACTATTAAGGTGCTTTCTAAAACCTGCATATGTTAGGAACTGATGCCTACAGCCTTGCTGAGAACAAAACAATTTGAACTTGGGTCCAGGATAGTAACCATGTTCAACTCTTAAATGTGAAATCAACTGCTGACTGCTGGGATAATTTTTCTGACACATGAAACAGGTCAGCATTGTTATAGCTTCTTACTCACAGGGTGAGAATGCTACTGGCTGGTTAAGCAGTCTTGCTCTCAAGTCTTTAACTCTGGGTGACTCTGGGTGAATGTATAAAAATTCACAAGTGCCACATCGTAAGACAAATTAAACACAAAATGTGCTTGGAAAAGTTCATCACATGCCCCGAGGGAGCGGTTTGCCTTGCATGGGATGAGATGCTTATCCATGGTGATGTAGAAGCTGTCAATCTTGCTCTTCTGACGCCCAACAGCGAGGAGGTACGGCTGCCGACCCTGCTGGTTGCGGAGATGCTCCTCCAAACTGCAGCATGACTATGGTTGAGATCAGAAAACTAAACATTAGAGACAAGAATAATGTGCAGCCAAATAAAAAAACATTATAGAAGTGATTTAAACATCTTATTGGCTAGTGCAAGATGGGAATGAAGACAGAATTACAATCCACAACCCTCATTTACATATGTGGCTAGGAAGTTGACATGACAAATTATTATAATCCCCTTAATAATATAATTACCTTATGAAAGACAACAAGTCTTTCAACTGCATCACATGCACTAATTTTTGGAGACTTCAGTCCCCCTGGAGGTGGTGGAAGGAGATGTAACAGCAACAACAGGGAGGCCATTTCTTGGTCGTAGGCTGAGGACAAGCAGTCACAAGAATTAACTAAAACCTCTTCAAATGTAACACTTTAAGTTTGAATGAGAAGAGGGAGTCATCCATCTATTAGTCACAGTTATCCCAAAAATCAGATCAACGTTCAGAGACACAGAATAAAAAAAAAAATATTATTGCAGTTATAGTTTAACTGAAATGATAGCAAAGGTATTCAAATAAACAAAACACTCACTTGTTGCCTCATCAAGATCACTTCCTGGGGGACTTTCTGCTGACTGCACCAAGCGACGCAACTCTGGTGTTGAGGTGAGCCGCTTAGCCTCTTTAATGACATTTGGCTTGAAGAACAAATCCCATTTCTGAAGAAGCCTGGAGGATGTGTCTTCGTCAAATAGGAGAGTGAAGTCTTGGTCCACCTTTAGGAAAGAAGATATTAAACAACAACAACTACTACTACTGGAAATACTTTCAAATATCAAGCCATTCCAAACATCTCATCCCAAACTTACCAATCCTTTTGTATCCAGAAATCTTGGGAAGCTGGAGAGTATATCAACACTTCTGCCTGGGTCATTAACAAGCTTCTGACGATGCTGAAAGGTCTCTCTCATCTTCTGGAAAACCAGGGGATTGTCTGCTGTATGGCTAAGCAAAGACATGGCCTCTTGGCAAGCATCACCATCAAGCTGCCCTTCAACATTAACAGTCATTTGGCAATTTGGGCCTCCTGGAGAAAAGTCAATTGGGCTATTTGGTGGCTGTGCAGATCCTTGACGAATCTTCCTCTGGACTGTTTTCAGACGCCAAGAAATGTATCCTGTGCTGCTTGCAGCATCATAGAAGTGTTCCTGAAATGAAAAAAAGAAATGTTGTAATACCAGGCTCATGAGAAATCTCACGGAATTCAAATATCAATGTCATCCACACAGTTTTGGGTCACAACATGACATGGAAGTTTAAACAATAATAATGCCTATTACATAGCCCTTCTTGGAGTATGGATCCTTAAGGGAAGGGAACAGCATCACTATCCCACGTGCATAATCTTCTCTGATTGTTTTAGTGGGGCAGTGGCTGAGAGGAGATATTAAATTAGTAAATTAGTACATTTATGCAATGGTCATGCATTTATTTGGCACAAATAAAAACAAACATACCCATGATTGTCAATCATGTGAGCCACCAGGATATTAACCATTTGTCTTCTTGCAGCATCTGTTAGGGTTTCTGTTGTTTGGTACTCCTGTAGTACTTCTTCACCTCCGGACTTGCCTCTTAGCACAGCTTCTATCAACTAATAAAAAAGAAAAACATGAGAATACAAAACATGGTGATAAACAGCTTTTCTAGTGACTCAGAGTGAAAAAATGTGAAAGCATTAAGCAACCTGTTTAGCAGACACAGCATCACGTGTATCCTCAATTCTTTGTCTCTTGTTCGGAACATCTAGGATTATAGTTGATGCACTTAAGCTGAAGCTTGAGTCAGACGTCTCAGAAGACAAGGAGAAATCAGAGAATTCTAAAGCAATAGAGAACATTTAAATTATTAAATGATATACTAAGGTGTAGAGTGCTTTATTATACCTGCCTTGATATCTCACCCTGATCTGAGAAAACTGTCAGGACCACATTGCCTTGTCCAACGAGGTCGCTGAATATTTCTGCATCAACTTCTGTCCCTGTTGCATCCTTGTATATAACATTTGCATCAGGTGGCAGGCCAAATCTCTCCATGACTGGAAAAGATAAGGTCAAACTGAATGTGCTTTTGAAGTCCGCACTGTTTCTTGCCTCACAGCCAATAACTGTTCATGTTAAATACATACATCCAACACTGTATAATCATTAAATAGACATAGAGCAAAGGGAGGGACAAATTGTGATTTGTCCCTCACAAAACCCATTCCCTTCCAAGTCCAAATTTAAAAATTGATGATTGCCTTTTTTTTTATTGACTGTTTTGGTGTATATTATACTTTACACTTCATGAAGCACGCATTGCAGAACTGAAAATGTTTAGCAATGTACACCCATTTACAGTATAAGAGTCTGATAAATGCATGTAAAGAGCTTTAAAAAGAACATGGATGTGGTTTAAGACCTTTTTTGTAAGCCATGCTAACCTTTTTCATGGAATTGCAGAAAGTCAAACAGTCCTTCATCCTCATCCAACTTTACATACTTCTGCTGTTGGCTGTACTTCACCTGGACCAGCATTTTGACTGAGACATGCAATGAAGTTTGACAAAGTAAATGAACATTTAAGCAAGAACGGTAAAAAGTCGAGAGTGTTACACCATTTTTGGTGACCCATCAGATTCTGTGACCTGCAGTATTGGAAAAAGTACTACTTTCCAGAAAATCGGCTGCTTATGCACCAACTCATAAGTATTCAATGATGCACTTAAATGTATTTCATATATATCTGTCACACCCCGATTTTCTGCTAATTTTGTACTTTAGCTTTAACTTGGTAATTATAGTAATGGTAATACTTACATACTTTTACTTAAGTAAATGAGTACTTTTTCCAACACTGCAGGTCATAGAATCTGATGGATAGCTAGACACGTGAACTAGACACGTGAAACACCCGTCTGCATGTTGGGACAGTTTTTTGCGGTCCCTTTGATCTTCAAAGGGGAAAAAAAAACTTGCCAATTAACCAAAATTATTGTCCTATGTTTTTTTATGCAGTCTGCAGACAATATGAACTGTCATCGGCCTCACAATGGTGATTCACCATAAATGGTAAATGGCCTGTACTTGTATAGCGCTTTTCTACTCTTCTGACCACTCAAAGCGCTTTAAGACTACATGACATCATTCACCCATTCACACCCATTCATACACTGATGACAGGAGAACCATACACAGTGACACCTGCACATCAGTAACTGACACTCACACACTGTAGTCACAGCTACAGGAGCAACGTTGGGGTTAAGCAAGGACACATCGACATGCGGGTTAGCAGAGCCTGGGATCCTGGGAAGGCTTTAATACTGCAGCTTAGACCCCATCGGAGCCCGCCAGAGACACATTGCAAGTTCAAGCGTGTTTTCAGACCATTGGTTTCCCAATGAGCCGAACACGTCACACAGACTGCGTGCTGCGAACATAATCGTGGTCACATGCAAGTAAGTTTTAAAAGCCACAACAAGATGAATACCAAAAAAGAAGTGGAGCCAGTGGGGAACGGGAAACAGTTGATATCCGGCCGTATGCCTCATTAGTCTGAGTACACAAGTGCTTTTATTGTTCTCAATGTACGTAAACATAAAGTTACAACATGAACATTGAGCAGCTTTGTCTATATATAGTGGTGAGTGTTAAAAAAAAAATAGCAACATAAATGTCCTTTCGAGACATGAATACAATAGTGTAATAAGCTATGTTGGGATACATATGAGATGACTAATAAAGGTTGCTTTGTGTACATGGCCTGGGAGTGACAGCATCATGGACAACACACACACACACACACACAGTACATAGATAATGACAAGACTCAGTGAGGGGAAAATACCAAAGATCTCAGACCCCCAAGAATCCCCTGTATTGCCCACACTGTTGCTGAATGATAATTCACAGACAGCTAAAAATGCGTATTTAAACTATAAAGAAAGATATCAGAAACATCTCATTTACTGATATTCAGGGTCCGGCTGTTGATGCTCTACCACCTGCCTTTGTGATCTCGCTCTCGGGAACTTCGATGGCTTTGCTGCCTGCCTGGAAGTCTACACATGCTTCCGAGCCGCGTTACACCTGCACAGACATTTTGGGGGGCAGGTGCTCAAACCAAAACAAAATGGCACCAATCGCCAAATTGATTCATTAAATTAAAAATAATAATTAAATTAAAATATAGTAGGATAAAACTGACATATTTATTTTTGTTAACAAACTAACTCAAATTGAATAAATAAATGAATAACAGGCAAAAACAGACAAAACTTAAGCAATAAGGTATAAGAGGCTGTACTTTATCATTAATAGTGTTACAGTTCGAGGGTGTTGCGACATATCACATGTATTTCCAGTTCCATTTGTTGATGATCAGCTAGAACAGGGGTCTCAAACTCCGGCTCGCGGGCCATATCCGGCCCGCCGGGGGGTACCGACTTTGGCACCCCCCCCCGTCGACCGTACCGTTCGCCGGTCGGACCGTCAGCGCCGCCACCCCCGTCAACCGTGATGGTCCGGCCCGCGTTCGGTGGAGGTGGGCTGCATCTGGCTCGCACCTGGTTTGAGTTTGGGACACCTGAGCGAGGAGATCAACATTCATTTGTGCATCGTCTGAAAACATACCAGGCCTCCGTGCAAGACGTCGCACCACCTCATTCATTCACAACACTCATGACGTCCACCTGAAATGTGTCCTAAAGCCGAGCATTTGCGGCGTTTCCGGTCTTTTTCCAGTGATCGCCACTGAGCTAAAAACTGAAATAACAACTAACAGGCTGTTGTTGCTGGGAGGAGGAGGAGGAGGAGGAGGAGGAAGATGAGGAGGAGGACGAGGAGGAAGATCTCATCACTGGGGGTCTATCTGTGCACGGGCCTGTTCAGGGCGCTTGGTGGTTGGATTGTAACGGATCCGGTATATGAAAAGACGTGCATCTTCTTGCTGGTGAAATTACTGCTTTATTTTTTTCCTTTCGTCAAAACAACCTCATTAAACTCCACGGTAAAATACCACCGTAAGAGCTTTTTGCCCTTTTTCATACGGGTCCATTAAACTACTACAATTTCAAGAATAAATTTGCATCTGTCCGTAACAAGATCCGTACATTCGCAAAGAAACATTCACTTTTTACCTTTCAAATGAAGTCATTCCTTTTCCGGAAGCTCTATGGGGTTATTTACGTGGATTGTTCCGTGGACCAAAAGCAGCTGATGTTGTCCTCTTGTTGTGGCACGCAGGCTCTGTGGCGCCTCTCAGAGGGCAGAGGACAATCTGCAGTGGTGTTACTTTTATTTGACTCTGGAGGTATGTGAGATACTTGAAGCCACTCCTTGGATTACATGAGTTTCTTTTTTTAAACAAATTCAAATTTGGCATCCCTGCAAAAATCATTTTATCCTTTTATTCATTGAGTTCATAAACTGAATGTTATATTCAGTACTTTATTACATTTGATTATCTTAAAAACCTTTAGCGTATAGCACTGCTGCTAAAAAAGCGTCCACGAAGTTCAACCCACACAAAGCTTTGTGTTGTTTTAGTGTCAACAGTTCAAGAAATCACACACTGATGGCACACGGAAGCTTTCCCACAAGGCTCAGCACTGTTCACAGTGGGGAGCACGGTCGTCCTCCAGTCAGAGGGTTGTCGGTTTGATCCCAGGCTCTGCTAACCCGCATGTTGATGTGTCCTTGCACACACGGTGCACACACCCCAACGTTGCTCCTGTAGCTGCGACTACAGTGTGTCAGTTACTGATGTGCAGGTGTCACTGTGTTTGGTTCTCCTGTCATCAGTGTATGAATGGGTGTGAATGGGTGAATGATGTCATGTAGTCTTAAAGCGCTTTGAGTGGTCAGAAGAGTCGAAAAGCGCTATGCAGTACAGTCCATTTACCATTTATGGTGAATCACCATTGTGAGGCCGATGACAGTTCATATTGTCTGCAGACTGCATAAAAAAACATATGACATTAATTTTGGTTAATTGGCAACATTTTTTTTTCATTAGATCGTTCAGAATAATTTAAAATGATTAAAGTCTGCGTCATTGGTTGGACTAAAGAAATATTGTTAAAGGTGTAATGACAGCAGCATTCATTTGATTGACTAATGGAGGAAGTAATCATCAGATGAAATCCATAATGAAAAAAGCCTCATCATACTTCAAGAGTCCTACTTTCACTGTCGGGATTATAAAAAATACAATGATGTCACAGATGTGAACACCTCTAAGGTGGTCTTCCTCTTCATCCTGCTGCGATGCCTCGTGTCTCAAGGTCGGGTCAGCACTCTATTAGCCCACCAGGATGCGATGGCCAAGGGACACACTTCTCCCAGCTTACAGAACGCCGGTGCTGCCCTCCAGCGACAGCTGACTCCCCCCTTTGACATCCCGGGTCACTCGTGCGTGAAGTGCAGAGCTTCATTTTCATCACAAGTGTACCAGGCTTCACAGCCATGCTTATCCGGGGACAGAGGTTCCTCACCTCTTTGCTGCAGTTGTTTTCGACGGTGCAGGCTGAGAAGGCCTCACAGGGCTTTGTGTGCAGCACGGGATGGCCTGTAATCGGCTTGCAGGGTCATCAAGCTCAGACTCCCCTCTCTCGCTCTCTCTCTGTCCGGGGCATTAAAAGGGCTTATGAGGATTAGGTATCCAGGGAGGAGGAGGATGTGGCTCCCCAGTCAGGAGGTTCAGGTGGGAAGAGAAAGTGTGGTGGGCGTGTGAGGACTTGACTGTGCTTGTTTTTGGTGCGTGCAATACTGTATTTTTAATCATTATTTATTGTATAAAATGCCCCTATTGTATTATTTTGAAATGAAAAAATACAAACAAAAGTATACGACATTATATTGCTTATTTGAGGAATTGCCAACACATTCAGCTGTGTATCTCATTATGTCATAAGTGGTTTTACAAAGACATTTTTTTCTTACAAATTACAGATTCAGATTACTGATGCACGATATTTGCAGTTTGATGTTTTACACAAAGCACACGCACACACTTGCAGTACTTTGCTCGGTCCAAGTAAAAAAGTAAGACAGTTATGAATTCTGTGGTCACACGCGTTGCATGTGACACTCATCTCATGTCGTGTCGCTCGGTACTGTCAACAGGTTACTTAACACAGGGGTTGTTTGAATATTGATAATGCAAACTTTCATCTTGTGATGTATGGTCATCAAAGAAGATCAACATTAATATTAGGGTGCGTGACTATTCCTTCAGTACTCCACCAGTGCTGTGCCTGTTCTGATGGCTCATTTTACAAAAAACACCCGACTCATTGCCCGACAACTTGTTTAACCCGTAAGACCCAATTGTTTTGGAGGCCTATTGCTCCAAAAATACAACAGTGCTGAGGGAACACGTTTTTACGTTGTTACGTTTTTCTTTAAAACCTGTCTTCCAAGAAAGGCCTGTTGGGTGTGGAGGGCAGGTCTGTGTGCTAGCTAATGAAGTATTGCCACGGCTTCTACAACGGTGCCTCGAATAGCAAGCATTCCTTTCAAGTTAGTGTCACAGAGGCCATTTCTGTCTCTGTCGAACAGAATGCTGGCGTCTGGTGAATGCATGACCTCTAAACACAGCACCGCCCGGCTGATCCCTTCTTTATCCGAAATGTGTAACACTGATAACATTGGCTGCGTTGTCTTTATTGACGGGACGGAGAAGTCTCTAAGTCTGATAGTGAGGAGAACGAAACGCAAACAGTCGTCATTCATACCAGACAGTGGCGTCGGCGCCATTACCTTTGACCTGCAAATATTATAAGCAGGCTTTGTTGTGCAGGGATGTGGAATAACAGTGCATGTTTTTACCATTTGGTTCCGCGACAAACCTTTGGATACACGGAAGCTAGTAGTTTTTGGGAGTCATTAATGTTGCTCATTTTTCATCTTAACTTCCTTCTGCTCAATGAAAAAAAAACATTTGTACTTGGGATTCATCTGTGTACCTTTTAACTCCCTCGGAGTATTCATTACTCCAAATGTGCAGACGGGTTGACACGAGGCCGCGAGGGCACCTCATTTGCATTGAGAACACATTCATGCCTGTGCTGTGCTGATAACAGGCTCTCTGTGGATAGACTGTGGCCAAATGATGTAATCCACAGTTACACGCTCTTACAGCCACTTGCCTATGATGCCAGTAAAACTAGCCATGTTTGTTCACCGTCCTGATGCAAACAGGCCGGCTCGCTGTCGTATTCGCTTGTTCATACACACACACACACACACACACACACACACACAAACACATGACAGGGAGACTTTGTCTTTCTTGGCTACTTGCACATTTACAGATTATCGGAGCTATCTCAGCATTACATCACTGTCATGTCTAAATTCATCTGAAGCCCTTTTTTCATCACATGAGGTTTGGCATCAGGTGTTTGGTCAATAAATGCCTCATCCTCCAGGGTGTAGGTCATTACTAAAACGATCATGTGCCCTTCCTCCTTCACTTATCACCTCATCAAATGATGACAATAAATATTTTTTTGCCTTGTCAGTTGTTTGTCCTGACGCCATCCGACCTATTGATCTCCAATATCTCTGATTACGTTAACGATTGTGTGAATTGAGCAAATCAGCCTCTAAGGATTGCGTGGCAATGAGTCTGTTGTCAACAAAGGATGGAGAAGATCATAAATTCAAGATGCAGCATGACTAAGTAATAAAGAGAAGGGAGTAGATCGCACTGCAGGTTCAATACAAACTAGCATCTACTATTTGTTTACATTTTGAGTGGTCTCAGGGGAGGTTTGGTGTACTGGCTACTGGTGGAGGGCAAGTGGGAGCACGGGCTGTCATAAAACCGCACTGAGAGGCAAGCAGACCAGTCACTGTTACACAAGTCTGTACGAGAGCACATACAAGTGCATGTTTGTAATCCGCCATGCAGACACATTCCTGACAGAAAGCAGACTCTGGAGTGGCTCTGGAGACCAGAAAGAGGAAGCAAAGTCATGTGGCTTCCTTTTGGGCGCTTGTTTCTTCTTCCGCAAAGATTCTGATTGGTCTCCTTGATTGAGGGCTCACGCTCACGATTGGTCACTCAGAAGGGAAGTATTTCAAATCTATAAAAGGATTAGTTTCGCAAGAAGCATGTCAACGTAACAGGAGAGGTGTTTGCATCAATACCTCTGATGAATCCTGGACTTGATGCAAGAGTTTGGTCATCATCTGGATAAATAAACACTTGCACAACAAGTCAAAAAGAAACGCATCTCCTTGTGGACGAGAGGCCTTTGCTTGTGGCACTGTGCGTTTAAAAATGTGTCGCCATCTAGTTTCTTCTGAGCTGAGCTAGCAGATAGTTCCTACATGAAACCGCTCCCCTAAATAACTGTGGATTATCATGAGATCACTGGGTCATGATTTCTGGAAAGAGACTGTTAAGTATTTTGTTTATGTCGCTTTGAGGACCTCAAGCTGAGAGCCTTCTAGTTCTATTACTTTGGACAAAAGGCAGACATCTGCAGGGCTGACGTCTCTCAGCAACTCGCACCAAACAAGTAAGAGTGCAACTATGTTTATGTTTTTTTTATTTTGGGGTCAACTGTCCCTTTACAAAATGTATGGATGCAATGATAATAGGGAATTCAATTCAAGAATGTTTTCTTGCTGTAATTCAACCATTACAATAAATGAGCCTGTTCACAGAGTGTTTGGACACAGCACTTTTTAGCTTTTGAGCTCTGAAAGGATTTACCTCAATGACCCACCCTGCCGATGATATCCAGCCCGACCACGGGCGGCTCTGTAAACTCATGATGAGGTGGAAAGCTGTGTGCGACACAAGTTTTCCTTCACGACGTTGGAGGAAAATCCCCACTTAGCCCACGCAGCCTCCCCTCCTCCCCCGCACGCTAACACTCTCCATGCAAGAGGATTATGAGGCATCTTTTGGCCCTGCCATCTGCTCCACACTTTCAGATTAAGCCAGCAAGTGAGGAAGCAGTCAGCTCACGGAGCGGCCACATTTAGATGCTGGTCTGCCAATGGTTAGTTATCACCTTCTTTCTGTGGCCGAGGTTCGTGGAAATTGTATCCGCGGCCTGGTGGCGAAAACCAGCACAACTTCCTCATTGATCGGGCCTCAGTGTTGCCGAGAGTCAATTTATGTTTGTGCTGCACGGCTCTGGTTTCCAACAAAGATCAAAAGCAGAACTCATAATCAGTCTGTTGACAGGCTCTGGGAAAGGAAGCGTCACAAATACATTTAAAGACAATTACATCTTTTAGAGCATGGGAGTGTGTGTGTGTGTGTGTGGTGCCAGACGTTTTCATCTTTTCTAAAGACTTTAACTCATCTCGTCGCAGAGGTCATAACCCCAAAGGCAAGAAGGGCACGTGGAGTACGCCGCACTATAGACCCTCGATCAGGCGCAGGTGCTCAGTCTAAAGAATAGGACCCAACCCCCAACATTTACACAGACTTCATGGTTAGTGGCAGCTGAGAGGTTTTGAGAGGAAGAGAGGCTTTTAAACTAGGAAAGCAATGCTGATATTAGTCAAATTGCTTTTGCTTGGAAATGAAAGCCAGAACTCTTAGATTTAAACTGTGGTTCAAAATAAAGAATAAAAGAACCTTAGTAAAGCTAACAAGAAGGAATGTATTGGAAAGGGCAATTTCTAACAGAGGAAAATGTGCTTGTATCTCTGCCTGGTCTATGACTGCAATATAAATGAATGAACAACTCGTAAATTGGATGCTTTCTCAAAACTTTTTAAGTTCCATTTTTTAAGGACAATGAGTAGTATTTCAGTCTGTCCAAGAAATTAAAGACTAAATGGGGTATTTAAATGGTAAAACTGCAAGAGTAATTTCTGTTGTGGTTATCTACATTTTGTTGATTATGTTGATATTTTAACTATAAACTTAAATTAATGCGTTTTTAAGTAAATATGTATGACAGTAATGGGAAGAAAAAACATTTTAGTAATTGTAACCGTATGGTAAGGTGTATTTACGGGACAAGAGGTATTTTTGTTTAGTTTTAATTTCGCATTTTTAAAAGCGCGATGATTCAATCATGAATTCAATTTTCAGAGCTGGTTTTAATTTCCTCAATGTCCACATTTGAAGAGTTTGAGTACAAATAATAAGTACTAGTTGGGCTTCTGACGCAATACCCTCGCGGAGGAATCACACCAGTTCGAATAGGACGGCAGAGGTTCGCCTTGTTGCCTGGATACGAACGCGAAGGGTCGCGCATTCAGGAGTCCCTATCCGAATGAAACAAGCTTTTGGATAGAGGACATTGTGGTTCTGGGTATTAAGTGTCATCGACGAATGACCTTCCGCTAGCTTGAGCCGAAATGTCGCCGGTTTCCTTGACGCTATTGGCAAAGCACTGGATGTGAAAACAGCGCCATTTCTGTCGGCGTCCATGATACGCGATGCTACCGCAGCGGATTCCAGAGCTCGAGCTCGGAACGGCAGCGGGAGAAAAATAGCCGCTCCCCTTCCTCCTTTACTTCAGCCCGCGGCAGGTAGGCCAACCAGCAAACCCGCTGGGTTTTTTGGCTCCCGTTTAGGGTTTGTGTTTAGGCAAGCTTACTATTTTGCCGTATGACGATATGGCGTACATTTTGAAAAGAGAAACGTCTGACAATGCCCTGGCGACGTTCGCCTGCCGGACGGCCGCTCCGCCTCCCGTCGGTCACAACAACAAGCGTCCCCGAAAGCTAACGTTAGCTAACGTTCGTTGTTTATATTTTCATCGGATAATATGTGACTGACTTTTGCTAATGTCACGTTTCCCGGTGAAAGTTTAGATACGGCCTAACGTAAAAAGTGTTTGCTAGCTAACGCTAACTGTTCACTAACAACTAGCGGAGAACCGCGAGGGCTCTAATGTCACTGGATCGAAAAGCCTGGTTCGCCTCACCGACACCAAACTAACGTTAGTCCTCATCGGAACGGGAGAACATTGCTATTGGCATTAAATTAATTAACGTTAGATCGCCATACAACTTATCCTGTCCAACCTGAATCATGCTTGTCAAGTAACGTTCACTTCAAACGTATAACAACACCCTGTTCAATGACAGCAGGCGAGCATTTCTCGGTAACGTTAGCTCATTAGCTAACGTTAAAGGTCGGCGATCCGGCCAACCTTGTCATTTGGCTGTAAAGTGACGCTACCTAACCGACGTTAATACCGTTAAATCAGAACCACGTTAGTTGCACTGCCACTGTTACATAATCGCTGACTCTGTGTTCAACTGTCCTGCCAATGAAACTAATACCGTGACTTTATCTTAAATATGCACCCGGGATGTTCTGTGATTGCATTGCTGCACTAACGTTACACAGACCAGCAATGTGACACTAATGTGACGTGAATCCGTAATGTTAAATATGACGTTAAACAGCGTTACCACGCGCCCACAATAAAGTAAACAGATTGCCAGTCAACCCACCGCACACTCGACATTACATAAAACAATGATATCGAAACGTTGGTTGTGTGATAAGTTGCTATGTGTACAGTGCAGCGCTAGCTGTCAGCGCAGTGTGCATATAAGGAACAGCTGGGTTGTAGACGCTGGTCAGCCATATTTAGCTTTAGCAATTAACGACACAACTAGCCTTTTAAACCTGGTCCATCTGTATTTATTTCATTGATAATGTCCCTCTACCATAAGGCGTATGCCTGCTGAACCAGCATGGTTTCTTTGGGGAAACTATTGCCTCTTTGATGCCTCTATGGTCAGCCTTTAATATCCAACTGGTGAGTGACAACCGGGCCGGCCAATCACATCGCAGCGCAGCCTCCATTTGCTCTTCACGTTGGTTCCCTAATCCGTTGGCTGTCATACCCAACACATGCACTTGACAGCAAGTGTCCCACTACCGACTGTCCTACTCAGTTTACGTGCTGGTCACCACTTGTCTCATCACTTTCTCGTGCTGCATGGGAGGGAAGGGGGGCTTGAACATTCATCCTTCAATAACCTTAACCTGTGACTCTGACTTTAAAAAGGGCATAACTCTATAATGTGAGTGCTGCCTATGTTACTTAAAGAGCTCCTACTCTCCCAGGAGCCCATGAATTTGCTGCTAATCAAGGCCATGAACAGTCAAGCTATATCTTTTGGATGTAGGAACACAATTGGTACGCTGTAGTAGGATCTTTATTAACATATGTCTCACATTCCATCTTTTTTTAAATCATGCAAAATATAAATTATATTATCTCTTTACGCGTCTCAGTATAAAGAAGCCGTGGTTAACTGTCTGTGTTTAGGGTTTTTGACCATTTGTTTGTTTTTTCAACGCTTGCATTCATCCTTGAAAATACTGCAGCGAAACTGATGTTTTTTCGCTCTGTTTCAGGTTTTGCCGTTGAAGTAAGACGAAGCCCCAAAATGGACCCTTCTGACTGAGAGGCAAACACGTCCAGTGTTTTGCTCTGCAGCTGAAATCTATCAGCAGCACAAGCCATGCCTGACGAGTAAAGCCCCCTTTTTGCTCAAAGCAATAATACAAAAAAACAACCATCCTAAATGCCTCTCCATGTAAAGCCCCTTCAGTGCCCCCTGCTGGAGGGACTGCCCCCCCCCCCCCCTCCAAGGTTCTGCCCTGTCCTCTCCCTGTACCCGCCTCCACCGACCACCCTACAGTAACTACCCATGGCAATGTTGCTTCACCTGAGAATGGCCAACACCTGAGGTCCCATGCGTCCTGTGAGCACCGATTCAGACGGTCCCGCTCCTTCTGAAAATCTCTCTTGCCCCTACCCCTTTGTGGGCCCCCTGGCTGCCTCGGAGATGTCCCTGCTCCAGTCGCTGGGTCCAGTACAAAACTGGCTCGGCCAGGAGCTTGAGAAGTGCGGGATCGATGCCATGATCTACACCCGCTACGTCCTCAGCCTTCTCCTGCATGACAGTTACGACTACGACCTGCAGGACCAGGTGGGCTCTCACAGACCTTAAATGAATGTTCCCAGTCAAGTCATTGTTTGTGTTTTGAGTGGTCAAATAAGTGGTCAGTGGGCTTCATCCAGGAAGGGAATCAATATAATGTATATATCAATACAATGGCTTTGTTAGTGGGGGTTAACAGTGGAGCTCTTGCCAATGGCTAAACTGACACATGCCAGGTTCACACAGAGATTCCAGAATTCTGAGCTGGGTGTGTTAAAAAGGGCTATATGCAAGTTAGTTTGTTAATTATTAGGATATGATAACCCCTGTATAGCAATGTTTATAATGATTTATTACATAGTTTGTCATTTTTTTAACGTTTTTAACGTTTTTTGTTTTAATGTTAAACCATAGTTTTTCCTGTTACTGACTGTTCATGTTTTTTTGCAAAAGGAAAACGACATCTTCTTGGGCTGGGAGAAGGGATCTGGGAAGAAATGGGGCAAGAGTAAGAAGAAAGGAGGGACCGACCTGAGTCTTGAGGAAATGAAGAAGCAAGCTGCTGTGCAATGCCTCCGCTCTGCATCTGATGAAGTAAGCGCCACCACCACTCCGCCCAACTCTTTCTGCTGTACAAAATACTAGTGAACTTCAGTCACTTTGGCTTTAGAGATATGCAAATTAGTCATCACTCACTCATTGAAGCAGGAGCAGTTGCCCCCTCTTATATTAAACTGTAAAATAAACAACCTACGGTACAGGAGGCTTGTCAGGAACCTTTTACTTTTGTATTCTAGGTTGTTTGTATTGGTGCAGTCATGCAGATATTAATTGGATGAATCACTGTGAATAGACACAGAATAAAGCTACGTCGATGTCGAAGGCTGAAGCATTATCAAGGAAACCTCTTTATTGACCGTGTGCATGTTCACCTCATTTGACACCATAGCCACACTTTATTAGAAATGTTATGTTAACGTCGGTGCTGACATGAGACAAAACTCTAAGCTCACTTTTAGTGCATGCATGCAAGAATATCTCCCAGGAGTGTACTCCTTTTATTCCATACCTTTTGTGAGACTGAGGAAGCTACAGAGAGACTTGCTGACATTGCCATCGGTGGCCTGCGGTAGTGAGGGAGATGTGATTTAGTTGAGTGTCTCAACATAAAGCAGGACAAGAGAGGAGGGGGAAAGGAGGAAGGAGGCTCTGCAAGGCAAAAGGCGGCGTGTTGAGCTCCTCTCCGGGGACTAGATTCTGCAGTCTATTTTTTAACCAGCACACTCTGCACAGAATTGCAGCAGTGAGCGTAGTCGGTCAGCTGTCAGCTGACCGGCATTAGCACAATGATGCAAGAGGCAATGAGGGCAGGAGAGAACTTTGCTCGGCTTTTCATGAGGTGGCATGGTAAGTAATATTCTTTTCTGGAAGAGTGAACATAAAGCAAGTGAGCTAAAGGGTCTGACAGGATTGGGGGATGAAGAGCAGGTCCGTTGCAGATGAGATTTGTTTGGAGGCCATTTGCTTCCACGACGCCTTCTTGACCTGAACTTGTTTGTTTTCACACATCCTGCTTACTGTTAGGGGGAATTCTTTTCTAAACAAGATATTTAGGAAATGTTCAGTGTCATAGAACATGGTGACGCAATCCCTTGTGCTGTTGCTTAGCTCTTTTTGTTATTGTTGTGTTTTTTTTAACAGCATTTCTGCACTACAGCTAAAAATAGCAACGTCATCGACAAGCACGCCTAAGCTCTCACAAGTCAGCTGGCTTGACTTGTGTCAACATCAAGCCTTTCGTTATTCCTTCTGCGTCACTTTAGGGGTCAATGTAGCTTTTCTTAATAAAAAAAACATTGGTTGGATCCCCGGCTCGTTCTCTCTGCGTTCCATAATTGTTGTTTTACAAAGTTAGGAAAGCAACTCTAAAGTAAAGGCTGATGTTGCCTTACACTTAAAAGAATGATCCTACTCACTTCCACACAGTGAGAAATACATCTCATTAATTCATCACTGCTGTCTGATCAGTACTCTGTACGGCTGATGACCAAAGCTTAGGTATTACTATCACAGTGTTTCCGCAGGCTATTATATAGAGTCTGTATGTGTACGCGTCTGTATACAAGACAGACTCCCGCATCGTCTCAGAGAGAACACTGTATTTGCTATGGGATGAATAAAAAAGATGAATTTGTTTCTCTCTTCTCTTCTCTGCCATTTTTGCAGAACTCTGGAATTGAGAGCCTGGTTGAAGAGCTTTGCTCTAAACTAAAGGACATCCAAAACAAACAGAAAGGTCTGTTTTACACATTTTATCACAATATTTTGAATGTTTTGATAAAAAAGTTGTGGAATGATGTCATAACATATTTTAATGTCCATTACGTTTACAGAGGAAAAACAGATCCAAAAGAAATCTGATGGCTCTCAGTCTCCAGAGCGAGCTGAGTCCCCCTCGTCAAAGGACCAGGTGGAAATGTAAGCTGATGTAATATGGTGATCTGTGAACATGTGTTATTTATATTTCCACAAAGTGCTATTTGAACTCTCCTGCTCTGAATGCATTTCAATGAAGTTGTCTCTCTATCTGTTGTGACCACAGGTATTATGAAGCCTTTCCTCCTTTGTCAGAGAAACCTGTTTGTCTCCAAGAGATCATGACGGTGTGGAACAAGGCCAAGGCCTGCACATACTCAAGCTCATCATCTTCCGCAGCCCCACAGACCAGCACAGACACCTCTTCCCCAAAAGATTGCAACAGCGAAGGAGAGACTGCAAAGGAGCGACACCTGGAAGCATGTGGCACCATCACTGCTGTGACCAACGAAAGAGGCCAGCTACGACGAAACAAGAAGGAAAAAGAAAATCGATGCCATGGTGGTGGTGGTGGTGGTGGTGCAGCAGAGGAGAAACCGGCCGTCCACTCGAGGCGACAGACGAGACACAGATCTGAGGGCAAATACAGACCCAGATCCTGGTCCTCTGGCTCTAGCGAGGCGGGCTCAAGCTCAAGTGGCAACCAGGGTGACTTGAAGTCATCCAGAAGCAAGGCAATTAGAATCATGCACAAATCCAGAGAGGCTTCGAAGAGTAAGAAAACACGCAACAGCGGGCAGGGGAAGCTTCAGGTGAAGGTGATCGACAGAGAGGAGCGGAGAAACGCAGCAGGGATCAGCAGCAGCGCCACTGGAGGCGCTGCCAAACAAACACAGCTTTACAAAAAGGGGAAGAGACCTCTGAAGGAGATTCGTAAAGATCCAGGCTGGAAAGAGGCGAAAGAGTCCGGAGCTGAGGCTACAAACAAAAAGGAATACATGGAAGAGCCACTTTGGTACACTGAGCCCATCACAGAGTATTTTGTACCTTTCAACAGCAGACAAAGCAAGCTGGAAACAAAATATCGGAACAAGGTAGGCTCTCCTGACGACTTTGCTCTGGCAACCGACACAGAGAGGCTGCCGGAGAGAATCCAGGGCATCTGCTTTGCCAACGAGAGCTACCAGAGAGCGTACCTAGCAGCAGGCTCGTTCGTGGATGGCCACTTTGTGGAAGGGCTCGGCGAGGAAGAAGATGAAACTGTTGAACTCGTTGGGACCTCCAGCTGCTCTCAGCCAGAGGATAGTAGAGATTTAGATGACAAGCATCTGTCTGAATTCACTCACTTCTATGAAGTTGACATTTATCAATCCATATTGGATACTAGTGCCTCAGACTCTATACAAGAGAGTCGAATCTTAAGCATGATTCGACAAAAAAGCAAAGAGCAAGGAGACGTAGAGGCAGAATGTTGTTTAGTGTTAGATGGCCTTGAGTGGCAAGGGAAAAGTGCAATACGGGCCAACTCGCAGGAACCTGCGGGATCTCTGGGATTCCTAATTGAGGACCTGGAAAGCATGGCTCAAGGGTGGGGATGTTATTCGCCATCTACTTCAGAGGACATCGAGGGGCAAAGCTTTGTGGGAGACTCTCCCGGCCGACAATCCCCCCTCCTCGATAGTGTTTCATTCACCCTAAGCAAGCTGTCTGGAAATGTGGAGGAGCCCGTCATCTCTGAAGCCACCAGTGAGCCATCCGGTTTAAACTCGTCCTGCTTCTCTCTTTTCGAGCTGCAGTACGACAGCCCCACTTTCCCTTTTACCCGCGACCCGCTCGCCGTCGGTCACGAAAACAACACCGATTCTAGCAGCTGTCTCGACCCGCTTTCTAACAAACAGTCTCGTTTGCTAATATGGACCAAAAATAGTGCCTTTGACGAAACTGAACACTGTTCTAACCTTTCGACGCGAACCTGCAGTCCGTGGTCCCATTCAGAGGAGACTCGGTCCGACAATGAGCAAGGAAGCGTTCCGACGGAGGAGGCCGCTCAAATTGCCAACGAGGAGATCGATTGCATAATCCCTCCTATTTCTGGTACATATCTGGAGGATGAGATCTTGGATTTTTTGCAAGCAAACTCTGGCCGTAAGTGTGATGAGGTCAGCAGCAGCAGCGCAGGACCCAGCAAGACCCTCTCCAAAAAATCCAAACTGGAGTCCATTTGTGGTATCGCATTGGAAGAGGATGACAGTAAGCAGTACTGCACTGGCATGTTTTCGGACAATGCAAGCCAACACAGTGATGACTACAGCTCAGGGATCATAAAGGACATCTGGACGGCTCTCGGAGATGACAAGTCTGCGGCTTCGAAGCCGGGACCCGAAAAAACGAGCGGCGAGGGGCTGTTCTCTGATGAGTCGGGCGGTTACTGCTGCAGCTGTCTGGAAGTGCCGGCGAAAGAAGTTCCCATTCGGGGGCCTCAGAAAAAAGCAGTGCAGAGGTCAGAGTATCACCTCTGGGAGGGCAAGAAAGAACAAGACTCGGCCAAAAACAAACTCTCCAAGGTAGACGGCGCTGGGGATTACATGACTCCGTCCAAGCCCTGGGACTTGACCTCCGACAAGGAGAGCACGTCGTTCATCCTCGGAGGGGTGTACGGAGAGCTGAAGACGCTGAGCGGCGATAAGAACTGGGCTGTCGTGCCGCCAAATGACAACCAAGGCAGCCTGCTGCAGTGCGCCGCTGCAGCTGCATCTGCTTCCAGCTCCGATATGCTCACCATCACCGGCACGGACGTGTTCATGAACACCGGCAGCTGCTTCGCCCCCGGGCACAGGCCCCTGTGGAGGCCCCTTGTGTCTTTCGGGCAGAGTGACCAGGCCATCAGAGCAGGCGGAGACGGATTGAACAAGGGATTTTCTTTCATCTTCCATGAAGATTTGCTTGGATCTTGCGGAGGCTTGCAAAATGAGGAGCACGGTTTGGAGTACCCGTTCGCGTCCTTCAGCCTGAACAATCCCTTCTCTCAAGTCCTCCACGTCGAGTGTTCTTTTGAGCCTGAGGACATGGCTTCGTTCAGTCCGGGGTTCAAGCCCAAATCCATTCTTTGCTCGGACTCCGAGAACGAAGCCTTCCACCCGCGAATATATGGCATCAACCGGACGCAGTACAGGGCCATCCGCATTTCCCCCAGGACTCACTTCCGACCGATATCGGCCTCGGAGTTATCTCCTGGTGAAGTGAGTGATTCAGAAGCGGAGACCGACAAAGAGCAGGCGAGTTTTCCCGTCCAGGCGCCGATGGACGCCTTCGATGATCCCCAGGCCGATCTCAAACCTCTGGAAGAGGATGCGGAATGTGAGGGCCCTTATTACGGGAAGTCAGAACTGGAATCTGGTAAATTCTTACCCAGATTAAAGAAGTCTGGCATGGAGAAAAGTGCCCAGACCTCTCTGGATTCACAGGAGGGCTCCGTTACCCTCCCGCCAATTGCAGAGCAGGAGATTTGCTTGGACTGCGAGGCGGCAGCGGCCGCACCCACTGCAGGTGGAGAGACGGCCGTCTCCGTCGGCAAGGTCCAGAAAGAGCAATCTGCAGGAGAAAAGGAGTCGTGTTCATCGGCACCAAGAGGTCACATCCCCAAGTATGGGATTGCTTATGGCTTTGTTGGAGATGTGCCAGAGGTGAGGATTTTCTTAAATTGATCTCTCAAGCTTCTCCATATTTTGTAATCAGTGAGACTTTTAACTAAAGCGCTGTCCTAACCACACGGGTTCATGATCTGTGTTCCCCCTGGGATGTTTCGGGCAGTGGTTACATGAAACTCACTGAGCACTTCTCATTTGTCTCGTTCAGTTCCCCCTCAGCCAGCAGGACGAGTGCTGGTGGCAGAACACGCTCTGTTCCCCCCTGTTCCCTGGATCTCAGTGCACAGGTAAACCGCCTTTCAAGGATTGTCCTTTCAATGTATCCCCTGTTTAATTCACACGCTGCATCAAATGCATTCCTACGTGTGCTTTCCATGACGAGTGTTTGAATATGATGCGCAAAATGGCTGTTTGAAACACAATCAAACGTTTTCCTCGCTGTGTTAGCCCGTAAAAAAATGATACGTTAGCCGCACCGTTGCATAAGCTGCGGGGTTCAAAGCGTGAGAAAAAAAGTAGCGGCTTTCAGTCCGGAATTTACGGTATCCAATATTTGTTGTTTCTATTCACCAGCAAAGACCGGGAGCACTGCCTCAGCAACTGAATCTTATGATTGAATTAGATTCATGACACACAAGGAGCTCATGGGGAGAAACGGCTTATGTCAAATACGGACGAGGCTTCAAAAGGACAGTTTGGATTTTTTAAGGGTGGTAGATGACAAGACATATTTAATACTTCACGTCTCGCTTTACTGGGATTGGATAAAGGCCCTTCAGTATGTTCATGAGTTCCCAGCTGACTCAGCGACGTGCTGGTAGTAGCAGAATGAGTATAAACAAAGCTTAAGGACCATGTACAGTCTCTTTTAATCTCCAACAGACGTGTATGCTTGCGGTGTGAATAGTTGCCCCATGGGAGTCTGGTCCGGGACGTCTAACCGCCTTCCTTCTTTGTCCAGGGAGCAGCAACATTTGAATTCTCCAGTTTTGCAGAGGACGTCTGTCGCAGAGGGGAACCCATCTTCTCCTTTGGTGACTGGACCGCTACCAGCAAAGATTCCGCGTCATCTCAGAGCTGGAAAACCTAATGTAGGCTAACTTTCTGACACATCCCTCCAAAAACAAAAAAAGAAGAAAACCCCCCACACATAACCCTGCAGGTTCTCATTTACTAACTTAAACCCTTGTGTAATCAACAATCAGATCAACAAAAAATAAGAGAAAATAGGAAAACTCAAAAAATATGTTCTGTCTTTGAGTGATGCAATGTGCAGATGTGCATTTTAGGCATTTTAGAGTTTGTTCCATTTGATTCTTCTGTACACTGGTCCTCATTAAAGTCTCAGTTAGGTAGTTGGGACGATCTTTAGTTCTATCCTCGTCGGGTTTGTTCCACCCTCTTTGCTTTTGAGCTGGGATCCTCGCAGTCGGTGGCGTCCGAATGGTTGTGCATGTGTGTTCGTCCAACCAGCCTCACTCTTTTTCTACTTCAACATTACGCCGTGTGAAATGACTGCTGTCGCATCCTCTACTTTCCATTTTGTGTTCAGAAATAATACAAGGATGTTGACTTTTTTTTGAGTTGTGTAACAATTTAAGAATTTTTTTTTTTTAAACAAAAAAAACAAACAAAAGTGTGTTGGGATGACTTTCTGAATGTGAAGTAGAGAATGTGAGCAGCTTTCTTCTCAATATCCCTGAATTCCCCTTGTGTGAAAAGTTATCATAAATGAGTCTGATTTTTGAATGGTGATAGTCTTACAAAAACTAGTAGTAGACATAGAATGGTTTGTGAGGCAAAAAAGCAGGAAATCAAAAGGAGTTTTGTTGGAAAAAAAAATACTAATACTCAACTTTAAAATGCAATGCTGTAAAAGAATTTGGGGAAAACAAAAAGACAAAAAAAAGTTCCTATTTTGGGGTAAGGAGCCATTTCTGCAGACACCTTGTGTTAGAACTGAATGAAACTGATATCATCTCTTGTCGTTTCTATGGTACAGACTATTTGGTGCTATGAATATGTTCAAACCCTTTTTTGAAATTGCGGTTTCATAATACGGCTATGACAAGAAGACGGCGTAGCCTCGTTAGTAGTCCAGACAGTCAGACTCCATCAATACCTTTTTTTTGCAAAAATGGTTGAAAAACCCCAGAGGGTTAAGCCTGCTTGCGGGTCTTCCTGGTTTTGCTTAATGTGGCTTGGTTCTTACTCGGAGGTGACTTCTTCTTTGTCGAAGCAGAAATACAGCAGGTATTAAACCTCCCGTTACTACGCGTGTATTTAGTCACTCGTCCCGAGCAGTAAGCACAGCCACGGTCTGCTGTCCATGCTGCAACTAGACAGGTGTGTAACACGACAAGTGGTCAAACCAAAAACATGGCAGAATTACACTAAGTTACAAATGCTTCGATTTCTTCTCCATACAAGGTGTGTTATTTTTGGTTTATAATATATCTTGTTGAACTATTGAGTAATGTGTCATTTTGTGTGTGTGCGTGCGTGTGTCTGTTTGTTTGTGTTGGAAACGTGTGAAGACACTGGTTTAGAATGAGTGTACTATAAGTTTAACTCAGAAACGTGAAGGTATGCGGAGACGTACTTTCAGTGGCTGCAGAGCCCGTGAGGTGCAGTTGGACTGGCCAGTTAAATACCTCTCCATCTATAAGAACAGGTTGGAGCATTTATTGAAATGGGAAATTGTATTGAAGTAAATATAGAATGAATAAAGGCCACCTTTTAAATCTTTCAGTACATGAGGACAGTCGAGTACCATCAGTGAAATCCTCCCTCCATTAGTGGGCGTATAATGTGCGAGGGGTCTCTGTTGGAAATGGCTTTATTTCAAACTGCAAAGATTGTATGCACAGCCAGCAGTTTGTTCAGCTCAATGCAACTCCATTTAAAAGCTACAACAGCTGAATGAACGGTAATCCAACCTCAGGGCCTTGTCACATTTATTTGACAGTCATCAGACACTCAGGAATTTTTGATATGATCATAACTCATAATCTACACTCAGACCATTGATGCATTCATGTCAAACCTTTCTTTGATTGTAGAGCAGAAATTATTGACCGGAGTTCCTTCTAGAGATGTCCGGACACCTTTTTCCTTCCCGATTCCCACATGTGAGCTTGCTTATCGGCCCAGTGCCGGTCCAGCTCTTACAGGCAAACAATGGCCTTTCTATACTACTTTGGCAGGTTTGTTAGCATACGATGTTGCTAGCACTGTAACGTTTTGATTGCTCTGGCTAACGTTGAGCTTTTCGCTAGTGACTTTCAGCAGAGATGAGAAAGACGTGCGATGGCTCACTCGTTAGCTGCTTCTGTCGACAGTGTTTCGTTTGGTTTTTTTCTTCCTGGAGCTTAGGATGGAAGAAGCCGTGAGGCGAGGCGTCACACTTCTCATCCCTGCTGAGAGCTGCACATGTGCAGTAGCGATCGGGCAGATCCTCTACGGCGTAAATCACATCACTTTATATTCAATCAGCAGCCTTTTTGCTACTGATGTCAGAACAACTGTGGTTCTGTCAAAGCAAACCTCAGAGGGGACTGTCACAAATGTATAGCTGTAGAAGGGGGGTGGGGGGATTAAGCCATTGTAGATTCCATAAGCAATGTGGAGGGGAATTCAAGTCCTATGCAATAGCTTGGCGCATGTAGACATTGAAGAAGACAGAGAAAAGTCCTTCACTTCATTTTGCATGTTAGTTCCTTTTTAGAGTGAGACCTGAGATAAACAAACTATTCCATAGGACTGTCTCTTAAAAATGCAGAATGCAAACATCACACCCAGTTCGTTTATTTTATGATGGATTTAACAAAAAATAAAAAATATATATACAAGGGAGTTTCAATCAGGGATTGGAAGAATGTTCAAAACCGTGTGAATCTGAGTGAATGTGTGCAAGAGGCCGAGTCACGAAAAGCCCTGACCAGGGAGTTAGAAGGAAACATTTTATTCTTCATTTTGAGAAGCTGCGTTAAAACAAAACAAAAAAAATATGTATGCGGAGGAAATGCATTCAGTGAAGGTATGCGCTTTTTTTGAGTTTCCATCGCGCCCGTGTTCTGAAGAATATGCCCCGCACCGACACCCGCATTTCCCCTCGACTTCCCCCCCCCATCTATCCCGAGTAGCGGTGTTGTTCTGATTTCATGTACGTCTTGAGGAAGTTATTTTGTTTCATTGTGGAGTTTTCTTAACATCTAATAAAGGAATAATCCAAACCTCCGCCTGTGTTGCTCTTAGCTTTTTGTACAGCGTGTTGAATCTTCTCAGATCAAATCCTCGACCTGGTGGTGACACTAGAGGGCAGGGTGACGACGACGATGCCCGAGGAACCACCTGCTTGTTCTACATCTCAGATATCAGCCGTTAGTCCATTTCTACTGATGCTTATTGTAGTGAAAAGCTTCAAACACGAGAAAGGTGAGATGTTTCCTTGGAAAGCCACATTCTGTGACCACCAACAATAGGGACGTGTATTGTTTAGTGAACACACTGCATCCACACAAACCGGTTGTACCTTCAGCATTTATCAGGTTTCACCATTTAAAGGCTGTGTTTTTAATAGTCTATATAGAATTATGGTTGACATACTTTTTAAAATTAAATTAATGTACAATTTAAATTCAATTTCTACAACCAAGTTGCCATATATTTTATTTTTAGAAATAAAAAGGGGTCAGAGTAGAAGGTGATAAGTTAATGTTCCTCGCCAATGAACTACATTTAGGACATTTCTTAGTTTCTATACTATTTCTTAATTTCTGTATTATAAATAATATTCAGGGCTGAAAATAAGTTTTAACCTTCACGGCAATTGACGCATTTCAAATCTCGTGTTTGCGCCCCAAACATCATCCTCGTAGGAGTGTTCGCACAGGTTGCGGATCGATTATTAATGCCTGCAGCGGCACACAGGTGCATGATCGATGGCGAGCATTCATCACTCCATTACACCGCACTCGCGGCGCAAGTTTGTTTTATAAAATGGCGGCGGAAGCGTCTAAACAGGTATGAAATGTTTCCGTTACTGGATAAACTTTACAAACGCGCTTGTTGTCGGTAACACCGAAGCCGCGTTCCGTCTCCCGCGGCGCTGCAGCGACAGTTCGAACGCGTCTCCGGCATTTTGACTTAATTTAAACGCACTTGAGGAAGCGCTGCGACAGCCGTCGAGTTTGGCGTCAGCGGCAAGTGCGCCCGAGGAGAGTCCCGGTAGATGTGGTGGTGGTGGTGGTGCTGCTGCTGCTGCTGCTCCACAACCGGCCCGCTTCTCCACCCGAGTTCACCTCATGCGTTGGTCCCGGCGAATGAGCTCACGCCGGTGCCGTTTGTGTGCCCCCCCGGAACTGCGCTGAGGAGGCAGGGAGGCGAGGGCGGCGTCACAGCATCACCATGGACCGCTGCGTGCGGAGGATACCTGCAGCCCACCTGTAGCATCGGCCGGCGGCGACATGGCGAAACACGGCCTGCGGTACTCAGGGGCGGAGAGACGCCCGCGGCGGTAGGTCACATCGACGGCGCCTGACTGGACTCGCTGTGTTAACGTCAGTATTCACGTGTATTCCCGCACGCGCTGCTGCTCCCGCCGACGTGCGCGTCCCTCTCCGCCTGCCACCAACAGATGGACCGGCTTCTGTCACGCACACTGCTGAGGGCCAATCTGGGAGTCAACCTCCATCACGCAAACAACCAGCCATGCGTGTAGCCTCTTCACGATCACACGCGCCGCAACAATGCTTA